CTACACCCCCCTGAACATAAGAGGATCTGCGGTGGAAGTGGTCTCCAGCTACAAGTACTTGGGTGTACACATGAATGACAACCTCAGCTGGAGCAACAACACCACCAGCCTGATGAAGAAAGCTCATCAGAGACTCTACTTCCTCAGACGGCTGAGGCGAGCTGGTCTGGGAAGCTCAGTCCTCACCTCCTTCTACAGGTGTGCAGTGGAGAGCATCCTGTGCTCCAGCATCAATGTGTGGCATGGAGGCTGCACAGCTGCAGAAAGAAAAGCTTTGCAGAGAGTGGTGAAGGCTGCACAGAAATCTGTTGGAATCAGCCTCCCCACCATCACAGACATCTACACCTCCAGATGCAGGAAGAGGGCCACCTGCATCATGAAGGACCCCACTCACCCAGCACACACACTTTTTGCCCCACTCCCCTCAGGAAGGAGGTTAAGGAGCATTAAGTGTAGAACCACTAGACTGAGGAACAGCTTCTACCCTGAGGCTGTTAGACTCATGAATCTCTTACTAGAATAATGACTGTGAAAAACCATATCATGTTGCTGCTGATCTGTTTCATGTTGCTGCTGATCTGTTTCAATGTTGATGTGTTCATGCGTGCACATCTGCTCACAGACTCATGTTCATGTTTGTGCTGATGTTCAATGTTTTATGTTATGAGTGCTTAGTGTATATTTAGTTGATGTTTTTCTTAGTTCATATCTTAGATGTTATTACTGTTTTTCTTATACATTTTATTGTTGGATGTAACTGGGACCCCGTGTACATAATTTCGCTCCACCACATGTACCACATGAGGCGCGAATGACAATAAAGAAACTCTGACTCTGACTCTCTCTGACAATAAAATTATGGCAAATATGGAATTTGAATGAACAGCCAATAGTATTATTTTAGAAAGTGAATAACGTAAATATGGAGACTTTGAGAAGGAGTTTAGATTCAATTTGGACTAAGGTTCTTAGCTCTTAACGTTACAATTTAGGTAAGTTTATCTCAGATTTGTGAATTAAATTACCTAAACAAACTCTGTCGGCACTTGGTGTGGTTCTCTCATCAGAAGGAAGATGTCCATTACTCATTACCACAGCGGATGGCCTGCTGTCCCCAAGAAGGATGCCGTTTCTCAGGGCTGCGGTCTGTTCGGCGTATACCTTATGCTCCAGGGTGTTTGAGCATTTTGGGACTTCTGGCTGACTCAGAGCCACCTCTCCACCAGGACCCACATCTTCATCATTGCTGCTTCTCAGAGAGTCTCAGAAACTCTCCACAACCACTCATTCCATCTGCTCAGCTCAGCTGCTGCTCCAAAGCCAATTTCTCCTCTTGGCTGCCGTTGCTCAACTCCTGGTGTTCCGTTTACCTGAATCGACCAGAAGACTTGCCCCCTTAACTTTTAACCAATCAGAGGGCTTCTCACAGTGGGTGTATCTCGACTGTATAATTTAATGTAATTAAACCTCCCTTCTCAAAGTTCTCAGAATAGCCTTTGTTAGAAAGGGTGACACCTTGTTTTACATTTCTTTGAGCAAAATGCATGTTTTGATCTTAGCGAAGTCCTGTAAAAACAGTGGGGTTTCTTTGAGTCTTTGATCAACTGAGGTTACTTCCTCCATTTCCATGACAACTTCAGTTCTTTAGTGAGTAGAGTAAGGTTCATTCTTTGTTATGGACTTATCTTCGGAGACTAGTTGTCTTTCAGGAAAGAGGGTAATTATCATACAGTACATCAGGGTGATCTAGGAACACTCATCCTGACTTGGGGATTAGCACACAGGAAAATGGAACTTCATGTGTCAGAACAGAATGCCAGTAACTAGCTATGTTTACATGCGCAGAATTCTCTGACCGGATTGAAATGTGTTCTGTTTGAATAATTCAAATGTGTTGTTTACATGGGCACAATCTGTTCATGATGAGCGTTTACATGCAGCGGGCTTTGTTCTGAACAGCAGTACTGACATGCGCAGTGTGGTAAACTCTCCTTAAAAAAAACACCGAAGAAGAAGTTCTACTTCCGGGTGAACGTAAACAAACCTGAGCACCCAAAATGGACCCGCGACAGGTTTTAATGATGTTGGAGACGTTATTGCACTCCCTGACTGAGCTACAGGTAATAGAAATCATTTTGAGCTCTTTAAAAGTTTCTAGTAGAAATGTTGTGTCGCTCACCAACCAGTTTTACTTCTCTGACATGCTAATATTATTAGCGTTAGCCAGGCGGAAATGGCAAAGTCGCACATGCGCAGTCAGGTCAGTTTTTCACCATCAGATAAAAATGAACAGATCAAGCGTTTACATGCGCACCGATCGGGTTACGGATCGGCGTAAACCACCCGTTTCGTTCTGATCAGAAATTATAACGGATCGTGCCGAATACACAAAAAATAACCCGAACGGAGTGTTTACATGACACACTTTTATTCCGACCGGCCATTTGATCCGGTTACTTATGTCCATGTAAACATACCCACTGTCTCAGATTAGCAGAAAGGGATGAGTAGGAGACGCAATGTCTCTGAGGACATTTGTCTTTGAGGATGGATGGATGCTACACCTGTTTTTTGTTTCTTTGTTTGTTCTTTTGTTTTTTAACAATAACAAAACAATGATTACAAGTTTTCAGATTTATGTCTCAGACTTCCTGAAACTCCTGACAAGGAGATATTGGGGTCAGATCGGGGATTGTCATTCCCCGATCTGTTACGGAAGCCTATCCGTAGTGTCTAGTTTTAAAAAAAATACCCTAAACACGAGTCGCACATCATTTTAACCAAGGACTTAAATATGTCAATGATTTTAACAGAAATGCGTGTGGTGTAAATTAGCAACATGAAGGTCGTACTTTTCTAAATAAAGACAATTAAGATTGTACTTTTCGAAGTAAAACGCTGGTGAAGATTGTCTGTCAACCAGGACATGGTAAATTCAAAAAAAGTTTTCTGTTACAAATAAAATCAAGTTGTTTTTGTCTTGAACTTTTTTGAATTTTCTAAGTAAATTAAGACAGTTCTTATTCATAAATGGAATTATAACATTGTCTAGGAAAATTAATTATTCATAGAAAGAGATATTATAATTAATATTAATAAATATAGTATGTTTCATAAATATATTTTATTAATATATGTTGTATTAAATTAGCTTACAAGATATTTCCAGTACATTTTCCTTAATCCTGCTTATTCATCGGTGACCCGGAAGTATTACTTTAAACACATGTGCAAATGAGCTGACAGTATGGATCGGATTCCGTAACATATCGGGGAATGACAGGGATCTCATCCAAACACAATCAAGAGAAATCAGCAGTCCCCCCCAGCCCATCCTCACCTCCAGCCGGGTGCGATCGACCCCTGGAGGCAGCTTACAGCGCCCCCTGTGAGTCACGATCAGTGCTTCATATGGATAGATCTGAACAGAAGGACACATCTCTATCAGCTGTTTACAGATACACACAAAGAAGTATTAGAGGAAGCAAGATTTGTATTTATAATGGCCCTTAAATTATGCAAGCTTAAATAAATCAATAAAAAACAGCATTAATGACTGATAGTCCATCGTGCCTAGTGCCTGCTGTAATATTTATTTATCCTGTTAAGATCTCATGAGATTGAAACTCATCTTCAGAAAAACAGAGGTTCCAGACCAACCCTTACTTTAAAAGCCAACATGAAAATAATCAGCAAATCCTACGGCTTTTCCAAGTTGCATGTGAACTTGGTTTAGATGTAACAACATTCCTCGATCAAATTGTACTTTTGTTATTTTTGGTTTTCTGTCTGCTCTCTTCAACGATACGGTTGGATTAGTCATCTCTAAAACCACACAAACACCTCAAATAGATTCTGATAAGACCAAAACATTGTCGCAGACAGTTTATTAAAGAAGTCGTGCCAATTTGTGAATAAAGCTAATAGTTGTCCTCTTTTAAAGCCATGTTACAAAAATCTGGAATTTATTCAGCGGTTTTGCAGAAATTATATATACAGCTGAACATTAAATACCTATGAGTTGTGAGATTTAGCAGTTTTATTTAGCATTTGTAAAAAAATAAATAAACCTATAAACATTTATTGTATTCTTGGACTGAAAAGCTAAATGAGTTTGTAACGGATGCTTGAGGCTTGCACTATGAAGCAGGACCAAACCTGTGCTAAATCATGTTAATTAATTAAAGATGACACATACAGCATCAACACACCATCTCAAACAATTCTCCAGCTCATGTCCTTCTTGTTGGGGTTAGATGAACCGGACTTCTTAAAGACAGAGTTGAACCTGCTTTGTAGTGGTCTAAAGAAAACTGAGCTCTTAGTTGGGTACCAGGTTCAGCAGAGCTCACCTTCTGCTCTAAGATGCTCGGCAGAGAGTTTCCTCGGTCCATGCGTTCTCTTCGAGACTCTTCGTTCTGCACAAACACATTTCAGACACACTTTGTTGTACGGACGCAGCAGCGCGGTTCATACAAACACAGAGAAGCTGAGCCATCAGCGAGCAGAAAGCAGTTAGAACATGAACATGACACACAACTGACGGATGAGCTACACGATCGGCATGGGAATTTTTATTTATAATAAATTATTTTAAATTATTTAGCACCTGCTGCACCTTTGTGCAGCCCACACTTCAGGATAAACTTCCAGGGTACGGATCCCCCACGATAAACGAGGGACTACTGTATATCCATTTAATAAAGGCAAGTAAATATTATTTTTACGTTATCTTAAATCTCTTATCTCCTTAAAGCCAAACAATAAACTAGGTGAAGTTTGGGTCATATTACAAATAGTCTGAGACACTCTGACGTGTTTTACAACAACAGATCAATTTGAAGAGTGAAGATCAAATATTCAGAATAAGTAAAATAATAAAAGTAAAGTTAAAGGAAGAAAACGTGACTAGAAAGTTCAGATCAAAGCAGTTTTAGGTGTAATGTTGTAAAAATACACTCAGGGACAGTAAAAGGTTAAACACCCAGACAGAGTGGTGGAAAAGGCATGGTCATGTGACTGTAAAGCCATTATTACAATGTCAGATTAAAGAGGTAACAGAGTTGGCAGAATGAGTTCACTGCTGGTCCCATCATGTCTCGGGGTGGGGGTGGGGGGTGGCGACCCATTGGGTCAGGATACGGGCAGTGATTTGGTTCTGAACAGTCATACAGCTGGTGTGCCTGGGCCTCCACATGCAGCAGATCAGATTTAATGTCAGAGCTGTTGCCACACAGTTGACAGTGAAAAACCACAGAGAGAACATACAAACTCCACCCAGGCCGGGGGGCCTTTCTGGGTGGAGTGTGCATGTTCTCTTCGTGCATGCATGTGTTTTTGTACTCCGATTTCCTGCCGCTGATCAAAAACATGCATGTTGCTGCTAGGTGTGAGTGAGTGTGCATGCTTGTTTGCCTCTATGTGTCCCTGTGATGGGCTTGCATTGCGACCTGTCCCCCGCGTCTCACACAGTGACTGCTGGGTATGGGCACCAGTGACCCCTGCGGCCCAGAAAGGAAGAAGCGGGTAAAGCTAATGAATGGATGATCTTGAAAACATCCAGGGGATCTGGTCAGCCACAGGAGGACCTAAGTATGACATTAACAGCTCAAAGAGACACCTCGTGTGGACAGGTGCTGGTTAAAAACTGTTTCAGGGTGTTGAGGTCATCACCATCAGGGTCCCTAAATCACAACAGGTGACCTGAATTGGCTCCTGTCACAGCCAGACATACACAAAGTGATCCTTCATGGTGCTGATCTAAGTCTCATGGCTGAATGTTTCATCACTTGTCATCAGTTCGTGCCTCCTGGTTGTGGCGCCACGTTACTCTGATGTTAACGGCAGCCTAGAATCAAGACGGTGAAGCAGTAGTCTGCCTGGTGCCAGTTGAGCAACAGCACAGAATGACAAGGTGTTGGAAAGAGTCTGGATATCCAACATGACATTCCTGCCTTGGTGAGAACTGTCTTGGGTGATCAAAACCTCCATGTGTTTTTTACCCATTATCTGTCCCATCTGCCACCATTCTGTCCTCTGGTGCTGGTTCTAGATGTGCCAGCTCCTTAATAATCAAATCATGCACATACCCATCAGTAGTCTGCCTGTGGACCAAATTAGAGATTAGTTTATTCCCTCTGGGTGCCTAAAGTGTCACCGAGTGCAGAATAAATAATCTAATAGAACAGCACCAGGTCACTGAACATCTGAGAGCTGGATCTGAAAGTACTACTTTTGGTAATGGTTTTTCCCTGCTTGCTCTCGACGAGGACGGAAGCTTTTCCATCCTGCTCCTGCCTCCCTCCTGTTTTGCTCTTTGTCTTGTGATTCCTATCACTACATATCCTCCGAATTGTAAATTATGGATCTGGTCAGCTGGTCTCAACACAATTGATAAAATTTTCTCGAAAAGAAGACAGGGCAAAGGAGAGCCCTCATGCCCTGAAAGGACACTCGCAGCTGGATACACTATGGATTCCTGGGGCTACTACTTAGTACTTGTACTACTACTATTACTTCGCAGTTTTTCACTTTTTTGGCTGGTGTGTCTGTCTGTATTGTTCATTGAGGATGTTGAAGACACGTACATAATTGGATTTATGATAACGGGATTTCTGCTTTTTGGTGTTGGCAAGTATCAGGCATATCGACAAATTCGGAAGACGGCGGCAGCGGTTCAGGCAACTGAAAGGCTGCCTGCCTTGTATGAAGGAATGTACCGAGCAGTAAACTCTCAGACTCAGATGCTGCATGAGCTGAGCCATAAGCTGGATGCGATTTCTGAGAATCGCAGGCCACTTGTGGCTCCTGGGACTCACTGGTGGGAAGGAATCGACCTTGGGGAAAGCTACAAGCTCGGTCCGGCGGTGTGACCACAAAGTTTGACTGTTTTCATTCAACCTTTATTTATACAGGTTAATCCCATTGAGCCTCAGGGACTCATTTACAAGAGAGACCTGAAGAGAGACCTGTTTGGAATCACCAGTGAGACGTACCAGAAGAACTATGAAGACAGACATGGAAATTCAAGCAGAGTCTGCCTGACCCAAAATAATTGTGTTATTTGAATTTGGCTTCCCCACTCAGCCTTGAATTGGCCATTTATCTCATACTTCTCCTGTTTTTTTAAGTGAACAAGAAGGTCTGTCTCTCTCCCCTCCCTAGGACATCTGTGGATTTGTGTCAGAGTTGAGCCGGCTGATAGACACTGTGCCATCTTTATCAGGACTATGGAACTTTCTGGCAGTGTCCACGGACAAACTCAACGCCTTTGTCGGCCTTCCTCATACATATATGTATTATGATGTCATCAGTATGTTGCTGTTTCATGTGCTGATGCCATTTTTTTTGCAACTTTCACACTGTGTTTCTGTCTAGGACACAGTGCGAATTTGAATTTTTTTTTTATACCTACACTCCCCCTAATGTTTCTTTTTCCTTAGCTGAAAAAAGGGCTGCGCCTCTCGAGGCCGGCGGCCTCAGTCACCTCCGTCTCCCCATGTCTGTTTGTTATGTTTCTCTCGGACGGGCTGTACTGAAATGTAATTTCGCTGCACTTCGGTGCAATGACAATAAAGCTGATTCTGAAAAGTGTCAGTTTGTTGTCCGGTCTGCTAAATGGACTCAGCCATATTTAGAAAAATTCACATTTTTATTGTTTATAGTTGAAGTTTTATCCCGAGTTTCACTAAATATGAAACCTGTGTTGCTGTGTGAAATGAAAACACTTTTAATGGAATTATTCTTCTTGTTGAGCTCCTGACTTCCACCCACATGTTAACAGCAGGAGTTCAAAGAGAGAAGTGAAGTGATTCAGTAACATGCTGTTAAAAGGTCTGTCCAGGAGGAGTTATTGCAGCGTTGCAGCTTTTCAGTCGCTGGTCATGCACATGCTCACGCACACATCTACACACGCAAAACACACTTACCTGAGCAGCTGCAAAACACAAGAACACACAAAGACAGCAGAAAGGTTCAGAACAGAGCAGTCATGAACACAGGTGGGAGTGTAGTTCATGTTATCTGCAGCTTATTATTTATCTCAGGAAACATGTCTGCACAAAAACTGCAGTCATGCAGGTTTTTCATTTTATCTGAGTGAAATAATCAATATTTTGCTTCTCAGATTCCTTTACGTCAGCTGCACATCTGTAACTCTGCAATGATGAGAACAACAAAGGAGGACATCTACCTGGTTGACCTTTGTCTCCATCTGTGGAAAACTCTGCAGACTGCATCTGAAACACATCACAAGACAAACTGATTCACACGTTCTTTTCTTTAAATTAATTTTTTCAGGGGCTTTTAATTATTTTTGATCACGTATTTTTAAGTGAACTGTTCGTAACAAACTATTTCAAATTAGGACTTTATGTATGGTTTAATATAAATCAGACAATTTTACTGCTGGAATAAATATCCAAAACCTTTGAAATTATTTGAAAATTTAACTAAGCTAAATATGTGAACAAAATAATTAGGTCCTGTTAATAGCAGTTTTATTTTGAAAGTTTCCTTTATTTTAAAGAATGTTTATTTATTTCAGGAGACTTTTTTTTGAAAGATGCCTTTTTATACACACTTTACCAGAGGGTTGTAAATAAACAACTAGAAAAACAAACATTATATAGAAAAAAAAGCAGAAAACATTCTCAAAATTGAAAAGTTATTTTGAAAGACACTTTTAAAAGAAAAACTTTCATAAAACTTATGGTAAGTATTACATGTCAATACATTTTTTTGTTTTTGTTTGATCAAAATACACAAACTGTATCCATTAAATTAGAAAAAAAAAATCTGGTTTAATGTTTATCCAAATGGCAATTTTAGTTCAATTCAGTTTATTTAAATAGCACCCAGTCACAACAGAAGTCAACTCAGGGCACTGGACAGAAACATTCATATATAAAAAACAATAAGTTAACAGAAACATTCATATATAAAATAATAAGTTGACACTATTAATCTGAGGAGCACACCATATATTTATACCATATATGCACTTTCTCCTATTTTAACCCATATAAACTTTGGTCACAGGTGTTATTTTTATACTTTATAGTTGGATGTTTCTAAAAAAATGAGACAGACAAGTTTGAAAGCTGCCAAACAGCTGTAAACCATTTTTTACACATTTTGTATGATTGTGTCCTCTGTTATTTTCTGTTGTTGTACAGTGAGCTCAGCTATATTGTAAATGAGGCCACTACCTCAACATACTCCTGAGTTTAAAATAAACAAATTACTTTGATGTTTTGCATTCTTTGTGCAGCTTTGATTTGCAATACTGTAGAGTACACAGCTTTTTTTGTTTGTTTGTGCGTTTACCAAACACATTAGGTGTATTTGCACAAAGTATCCAAACTGATATTGCCGATACTAGCCTGAATTTTACTCAGTATCAGTATCGGAACGGAAATCTGGGTATTGAACAACACTAGAGTTGCATTCTGGTCCAAAAAATCTGACCAGATCCGGCCTCAGCCCATAGCCGTCATTTCCGAATCCCACCCGACCCGATGAATTAACAGTAATTACAGGTCTGAACCTGAAACCCTGCCGCCATTTTAAATTAAGTATGACTGCTTATATATTGTAGCTATTAATGGTTGGCGGATGCGCACGGCTGAATAAAAGTGGTAGAAGATCAGAGCTGAGGGGGTGTTTGTCCTTTCATGGTCATCAGAGCACATTAAATCCCTGCTTCTGCATTATTCAGACATGAACCCTGCTCTGACATGTCTGCCAGGATTTTTGGGATCTCACCTGTTTGGATCATCGGCCGCGTGCATCCGTTGAGTGCAGTGGCTGAATGAACGTCCATTTGGATGATGGATCGCTGCCTGGCAGTATAGTCCCATCTGAAGCTTAACTGAACCTTTTACCTCTTTCAAGGCTAGTCAGCGCGCGGTCAAATGGCCATGTTGCCATATAATTTGATCGTCAGCTGCACACGTCCGCTGATGCAATCAAAAGCACGACACCGACCCGTCCCGCCCATTCAGCACATTACTATGGCTTCAGACCCAGGTTAGAAATGACAGCTCTTAACAACACTAGTTTGTTTTGCAGTTTGTTCAGACACATCAAGAAGAGCTGCTGACAAACACTGGGTCCAGAAGCTGACCAATCAGATGGGGGGATTTTATGGAGGCGGGCCAAAAACAGCTGAAACTAAAAACACTGAATCCAGGACCTTAGTGTGATTACATAAAAAGTTATGTGACTTTTTCTGTGCACGGGGAGAAGAAATAAAAAAGGAAACAAGCTAAAGATAATAGCGCCGTGTGCACACGGTAGCACTCACTCTGCTCAGGCCGGATCGTGAAGGAGACTTGGAGGCACTTGCTGACAAACCTGCCAATAGCAAAACAGATGGACACATGAAAAACAAGGAACTTCATCTAAAGCTGAGGTGTCCGAGGAGGACTCACTGCCGTGCATGTGTGTTCTGTCGGGCAGAGACTGTGTCTTCCTCCTGAAGTGAACGCCTTTTTCCTTCTCCTCCTTCAGAATCAGACGGCCCAGGTTGGACTTGATCTGGACATCCCAGACACACAGCAAGAGATAAAAAGCTTCATGTAGTCAATCAGCAGCTTGACTGAAGTGCTGAACGCTTCCACATCTACAGAACTTTGAGACAACGCTCACATTTTTGGTTTAAATTAAAACTAAACATGTGAGATGAGACAAGACGCCCGTCTTAAAATCTGAGTCGTTCAAGAAAACTGAACTCCTTTTCTATAAAATGATTAGCAAAAAAGACTAAATCATATCCAAATATTACAAACTTCAAGAAGTGGGAGGAATCGTGTGTCTAAAAGAGCAGGCATGATGTGGGTGTGCAGACAGATGTAGACCAGGTGTGGTGGCACCCACCTTCTCCAGTTCCTGTTCCTGCAGCGTCTTGGCTTCTTCTGTTAGATCCTCGAACTCGTCTTCCTCCTCCAGCTTCTTCTTCCTCCACTCGATCTCTGCCAGAGTTCAGCCTTGAAGTTAAGCCTCTCTCCATCTGAGTGTTCACTGTCTTTAATGTGTGTGTGTGTGTGTGTGTGTGTGTGTTACCCATGGCAGCCAGCGATGGCGGGCAGGGCCAGTACTCTGTCTCGATTTTGGAGGGCTGGTTGGGGTCTGGAGGCTGAGCGGCGGGGAACTTGGCAGACTGAATGACCCCGCGGCCCTCTGCGTGTTTGTTCGTTTCTGCGAGGCGAAGACAGAGAAGCAGCTGAAAGAAAAAGAGCTGAAACAAACTCGACAACAGGCAGGAAGAAACAAGAGCGCACCATGTTTGTAGATGGGAGGCTTCCTGTAGATGTTGGTGCCGTTGTCTGAAAACATACAAGAACTTTGTGAGACACTCCACAACATTTGTCACACTTGTTCTGACAGAAGCCCGTCCATCCTTTGGCTGCTAAAAAGGATTATATTATAACAAAATCATATTTAATTTTTATTTTTCCTTTCTTTTTTTTCCAAATTCAGCAGACTGATGCTTAGATACAAATGTCTAAGTCCTGAGATTTTCTCTAATTTGCCCTAATTTAATCACAAATTTATAGAGTTTCTAGTACAGGTTATATGTCATATTTATTAATAATATTTCAAATTGACATTAAATATTATTATTGTTGTTATGTTATATTATTGTATATTATTATTATATATTATATATAATATACATTATATAATAATATATCATTATATAATATATATTATGATATATTATGTATTATATATTATTATTATTATGTATATTAAATTTAATATAGTAAATATTGATATTTAATATTTATAGGTTATATGTAATATTATATGCAATATATAACCATGTAATATTTGGTACTTTTTCTCAGTAAAGACAATTATCACTGCTTCACGAGCTAGGGTCTGTTTATTGCCGTCTCGTAGCATATACACTGAATATACGTCACATCCGTCTGAAACTATGGCAAGCCCACGAGGATAATAATCATGACGATTTACAGGACAACTGTGTAAATACATTATCTCCCCCTTTTTCTTTTTGTTTTGACACCCCATGTCCTAACTGAAGTGCTACATATTTTGAATATACTCTCATATGAAAATTCTGCTGCAGTAAAACAACATATCAGAATTGTAAACATCATTTCACATCACTATAAACTATACTAACCTGTATATTAACCTGATTAACCTGTATAAATAAAGGTTGAATGAATAGGTGAGGACTTTTTTAGATGAAGTCACCCGCTGTGTTCTTTTACATCAGGCATGTGTGTGTGTGTGTGTGTGTTACCTGGTCGGTGGAAATGCTGCAGGCTCGTGCTGATCTTGCGTCCAGCCTGCAGCTGCAGCATGGACCCTGCAGGTGAGCCACTGTCACTCTCCGCTCTGCGACTTTTCACCTGAACAGAAACAGGAAGTTAAAACCTCAGCTGCCACCTGAGGCCGAGTTGGGAAGAAACCTGCTCTGGACACGTTTCTCTGATCTGACAGCTGAGATCAACTTTACTGAGCTCTATCTTCAGATAAACAAGCATCTGACGCTGCCATAGTTCCGTTAAAGAGATAGTTCTTACAGGTGGAGTTCTGTGGAAAGGTTATGAACAATTATCTTACTTGTTCTAGATAGCACGCAGGCAGCCTCAGTAAGTTTGCAACAAATTGCAAGTGGCATTTATTTTTAAGTGAGTTTTTAAGATGTGTCAAAATGTTTCCTGTGAGTCGCAGGTGTTACAAGAATTGTGAGCATGTTTGACAAATTTCCAAGATAGATTTTCTCTCAAGGTAGTCACAGTGTTGTCCACTGATTCAATTTAGTTTTTTTATTCTAGAGTAGCAAAGCTGAATTTATTTATTTTTGGTTATGTATGCAAACTCCTATAGAGGACATAAGCAGTTTCCGTTAGTCCGAGACAACTTATTTTCATCTCAGACAACCAGATCTCACCTCAGGTATGGCAGCACTGACAGGAGTTCTGCTTCTTTAATTGTTCCTGTTGTTTTTGTTTGTAACTTTTTTTGCACCTGTAGTATGACATATCCTGAGATATATTCATCAATTAAACGGGTTCTTTCATTTTTCTGGACTGTATAACATGCGTGCCTTGAATTTAATAAAATGTATCGTGAGACGTTATTTATCTTTGACCCATCAAAATGAATGTGGTCATTTATTTACAGAATCAAAGTTTAACATCAAACATTTATATTAATTTGGCACATTGAAAAATAACAACATGGCTAATTTTGGCAAGCTATACAAGTGATTGATTATCCACACGGCGGTGGATGAGAACTTTACACAGACATTTCTAAATTTATCTGGAATGATTTCTACTTGATAGAAGAATTTAAAGAGGAAAGATGAAGTTTAGTGGGAGAAAAAGATGGGTGAGGGGTTTTGTTTACGTCGGCACCAGAAACGACACTCTCCATTTGAACCCAGCTTTCCTCGGTACGCTCGGTAGTAAACTTGACTCGTTACCTCTCTGAAGATGAATCAGCGGATACGGAGTTCCAGTTAACGCTACCTGTCCAGCGTCTCCGTAGGAACAGCTGTGAATCGTCCGAAGTAGTGACGGTATTCCGTTCGACACAAATTCACCTCAGCAAGTGGACTTCACATGAGTGGAGTCCGTCAGAGTTCCACCCAGATGTGGAAGAAAGTTATAATCCCATAAGACTCGGAAGAGCTCTGTGGTCATGTCAGGACCTTCCTGTTTCCCAGCACGGGAGCTCGACCGCAACCTCGGCTCGACTCAACTGGAACTTCGACCCAACAGGAACTTCGACCCCACAGGAACTTCGACCCCACAGGAACTGGGAGACTCTGTGAGACTCTGCCCAACAGGAACTTCGACCCCACAGGAACTTCGACCCCACAGGAACTGGGAGACTCTGTGAGACTCTGCCTTAAAACTAGGAAGTACCGACATTTTAAAGAGCTCTATTTCCGGTTCATTTGGGAGTTTTCTTATTGGTCAATATCGACCAGACAGGGGTGTGTTTTGTGACGTAAGAGGTTACTAGAAGTCAGAAAACAGCAAGAATGTTATGGAACAGATTGAAAATGTTTTTCAGACAGACGAGAGAAATGTTTGGGCGAGTTTGGGAAAACAGGTGCCAGCTTCTCTGTTTACGTCTGAGAGGATTTAAAAATAACACAGCTCGTTCCAACACTTGTCTGCTTAGACTCCGACCTTGGACCAAACTTACACTGCTCATTCAAAGACAGAAAATCAGAAAATGCATAATTACTCTGTAACAGACCTTAACATGAATTCTAACTTTGCATGAGAATTAAAAATAATCATTGTTACTGTTTTCACAGTTGATTAAAAATGATTAGTTCACTGCAACATCTAAAATGGTTTGAACTAAAACACTTTGATTATCAACATTTGTAAAATAGTAATGATAATAAAAAAGAGTGTTCTTTCACTTGAATTTTCAAGAAAGAAAGTCTCAGGATGGTCAACCTGTATTTCTGGATTCAAATCAATGAAATGACAGTTTCTGTCCCACAAGGTTCTTAAGGTCAAGGGTTTTGACCTTAGGCTTAGTTCACTACACACCCATACTGCACACCCACGCTACGGGCATGACTGCGATGCACTTTTGGAGCTGTGTGTCGCTGCCTTGCCATCATGGTTCAGTTCCCAGCCCCTTTCCAGTCTTGGGCTCATGCTAAGGCCTGTCATGGCAGCTGTCGATCCTCCATCTGCCTGCATGGACCAAACTCTACAGGACAGTTTGGTTCTGGATGTTCTGTGTATGTCGGACCCAGTTCTGGAGGGCAGTCATCGTCCATTGAAGCGGTTGTTATTATCATCATGCTGCTAACAGTACCATGGTGCTAACGGGACCGTGTTAAGCCCCTTAAGAGAACCTCATTTCCAACAGAACCACTCTGCTAATAGGACCAAGCTGCTGTAGATGTATTTCTTTTTCACTTTTGGCGCCTTGTTTTTCTATTTTTGCTTCATGCTTTGTATTTGTTGTTGTTTTTTTGGCGAGTTGAGATGATTCTTCTCGTCCTGAGCATTTCATTGCATTGTTGACCTTGTGTCGATCTGCGTATGACCAATAAACTTAAAGTCTACAGTGAAATTCTGCACCACTCGACAAAAAAATAATCTCTTAAGTGTTAAAGCGATTCATAAAAATGTCATAAAACATTTACGTGTGGTGAATTATCCCCGAGTGTCACATTACCCAGTTATTTTGACAAAAATAGTTTGATATTCCTGTTAGAAGTGTTACAACTAGCTGCTGCTGCTGCTGCAGCAAAATAACAGAATTCCATGTAAATACCTTTAGAAGTTTTTATTTATACACATTAAACTAAGAAATGTTTAAGGGTTCCTGTGATAACCGCACCAATATTGCTGTACACTTTATTATAATAATGTGATGCAAAATTGTCAAATAAAAATTATTGTCTAATAAACTGCTGTTTTCTTTGGTAACTGGTGTTAAAATGGCGGAAATTTATTCAGGTCACAACCAAGTTCGAACATTAGCTTATCAGTCTTGTCAGAATTAAACACTGAGTGTCAGGATGATGCCCTCTGGTGGCTGGTTTCTGCCCCTGCACCCCCTGGTGTCCCATTCTAATAATTGTCCTTTTCTGTGTCACCTGTGTGTCCTATACAGGTGTTTGTGGGTATGTCTCATTAGTCTCTGTATACAAGTCTGTGTGTTATTCATTGTCTGAACATCGTCTGGTGAATCCTCCTGAGGCCTTAGTGATTTCTACGTGTCGTCTATTAACGTGAGTTCAGCTGCCGCGTCAGCTTGTTTATTTTCCTTTATTAAAATGTTGTCATTTTACCAGCTGGTCCGAGTGCTGCCTGCACCATTGGGTTCTACGTTAAAGCATCGTTTACAACACTGAGGCTATTCAGAGAGCTTTCTGCAAAAGGTAAGATTTCAATTGTTCATAAGCTTTCCACAAAACCCCTTTAAAAGATCATAATTACCCCTTTAACCTTCACCACGCCGTGTGTTTACTGATAATTTGCTCATGTTGGCTTCTAAAAAACAAAACCTCAAGGAAAGCGTTGCTTAAAATCATTTTTACTTACGTGTAAACTCAAATAAAGTTATTTAAAATTTTTTTTTTTTTTTACAAACTATTTATTTATGCAATTGTCCTAAAATGAAAGTAACCATCATGTTCACTGTGTTCTTCTACAGACATCACAGCAACGGGACAACAGTGAACTGAAGCTGCAGTGATGGAAAACCGCTTCAGTCGTTAACAACAGAGACCCTTCCTGTTCAGTGGCTGCAGGCAAGCGGTCGCATCAAATGTCACAGTTTTAACCGTCTGAGGAAGACAAAGCAACGATTGAAGCTGAAGAATTCAACAATGAAAAGCAGACGAATGAAACCACAGATTTTCCAAACAGTTTAGGTCGAGACATTGCAGTGGGGCGTGGGATAGAGCCATTGGGTCATCGATGGTTCGACTGCTGTGTGAAACATTGTAACAGGACCAGAGATGTGTGTGTTTTTACTCTGTCAGAAATGGGCAACATATGGCCTGTGGGCCAAAAGTGGCCCTTGGACGATCTCCATCTGGCCCTTAATAGCATTAATTGAGAAGAAAACGGCTTTTTTAAATAAGCAACAATGTTCAGTCAGGTCATCTGATGGTTTGGTTTAGTTTTTTTTCTGAGATGTTTCGTCCTTCATCCAACATCTCAGCAAAAACAAACAAACAAACAAACAAAAAAGCCAACAACAACGTCCAGATGACCTGACTGAACATTGGTGGATTTTTACCTGGATTATTGAGCATGGACTTTGGTGTTTTGAACCACTTTGGCATGACTGTCTCTGAGTTGACGGGGGAGAGGGCGGGCCCGGAGGCCATCTTAGCACCAGCAAACTGCCCCCCCCCCCCCCCCACTATGGAGTATGCTGTTTGTGGAAATCAGTTTGTTTGGTGTCTCCTCAGATTGAAGAAGTCCTTTGGATGAAGGACAAAACATCTCAGAAAAAAAAAAAACGTTCAGATGACGTGACTGAGCATTGTTGGATTTTATACCTGGATTACTGAGCATGAACTTTTACATAAATTGATAACCTTCATCATAAACCTTTGGATTAAGACAGGATAAAAATGTTTTTAATCACTGTATTTCCATAACTAGTCAGAACTTTAAAGACTCTATTGTTTTGCATACTTAAGCTAACAAATCTATCGCCACAACAGCCAGTTTATAAAAAGTATGTCTCATATTCCTATAGAGTATTGGGGAGATGCTAACTATGCTACAACAAAACAAAGCCTGAAAAATGTCTTCCAGATAATCTGCCTAAAGGAAATTTATTTTCTAATTCTCAACGAGGTTCTTTGATAGCTTTAAATATCTTGATTTGGCCCTTTGGAAAAAAAAAAGTGATCCGCTTCTGCTCAATATCTCCATCAAGATCAGAATCAGACTTTTTTTTTTCCTTTGCTTCCAACATTTTATTTGAAAGTTGTGGTCATGAAATGTTTTCCACGCTTCATATTGTTACATATCAATTGTTTGAATAAAAAAATATACAAATGATTAGTGTATTTCTTTAACAGGCAAATCAGAGCAGAAAGTGAGGGGTGAGTGTGACATGATGACCTCACAGATCGTCAGCGATGTGCATTATTTTGATCAGACGTGAAGCAGCTGGAAGCTTTTACCTCTGGAGACATGTTGGGAGATGAGGAGGTAGGAGACAGGGAGCGCTGCGGACACACAAGGAGATGACCAATTATTGTGTCTGACGTCCACACACTGCTCTGTCTCTGCAGAGCTGAACACGCTGCAGCAGGTTTCTGTGAATGATCCGTCTGAATACACTAAGTTGGTTTTCTGGACACCAGACGAGGAACAAAACCTGCTGCTGCTTGTGTGGAGGCGAGTGAACAAGGGTTCTTCTAAATCATAGTTTCCCTCCACATTAATCCGGTTCATTTACACACCGCATGTGTTTTTGTGTGTGTGTGTACCTCTCTGCGTGGCGGGTCGAGCGAAGAGAAGCTGAGGTGGGGCTGGTAGGTCATCAGGTCGGGCCTCTCCACCTGCAGGATGGCTTTATCTCTGGGCAGCGCTGCCAGATCTTTGTAAGGCACCACCTGGTCATTCAAACGGGCCTGAACACAAACACGCATTCACATCCTTTCATCCCTAAAGCCTTGCATTAAAATGTTTTAAAAAATTATATATCCTTTTAATGTTTTATGTTTTACTAATGTGTTTTCCAGTCAGAAGTTCATTTTAACTGCACACTGAGCTGCTGAGTACGATCCAATAACAAACACATTCAACCGTAGTAATAATAATAAAGAGCCGCTCATTTAATTCATGACTTATTTTAACAGCTTGGGATTTTACTGGAGCTCACTTCAAACAAAAATATTGTTCTCGCTATTAAAAAAATGCATTTAATATGAGGGGAAAACATCTTACAGAAGTGAAGGAAACAGAATATTTGCTTCTAATGTGAAAGTCAAGGAGTGAAATGAAGCGTATTGGATATTCATGTTAAAATAAAGCACTCACTTTTAATGCTATACTTTTTCGTATCAGGATATTAAAAAAGCTTCTAGTCTCAACAGAATCCTAAGATTAGTAACAACACGTTAAATATTATACAGTGTAATAAAAGCAATGGTATTCTTTTGTTTGCTCTCTTCTGCAGGAGTCACCACAGCAGGTGAACTCCCAACAAAAAGATTTGACAGTTATTTTACACCGAATGCTCTCCCTGATTTCATTCATTCATTTATTGTTTATTTAATTCGGGACACGTGTAAAGTATTAACAAATACCGTACGCTAAGACATTTATAGCCGATAATGCCAGTCTCTAGATGGGCCTTTAGCAACATCAAAATAAACGGTTTAAAATGCAGTTTAAGAAGAATAAAACATTACAGTATTAAAACAATTCATAAAACTGAATTAAAAACAGATCATCATAATGTCATTAAAATAGTGGCTGTTATTGTTAACAAAAAAAACTGGTTCTGTTTCAGAAACTGCTTCAGTCTTGATCCAAATACTCAACGCAATCTGCTCCCTTCCTTCGACAGAGAACTTTACTAATTGGCATTTATGATGTATGTGAATGTTTCTGTTCAGTGCCCTGAGATGACTTCTGTTGTTACTAGGAGCTAAAGCAATAAACTGAACCGAAATCAAATTGAAACCAGTTCAAATACACAGTATACAGTATACTGTTTACATGACCTCAGTAGATGTACACCGTATACTATGTACTGACATAAGTAAAAGTACACATTATACTATGTATGGTACATGACCATAGTAAAAGTACACAGTATACTGTGTACATGACCTTAGTAAATGTACAGTATTATGTGTACATGACCTCAGTAAAAATACACAGTATACTATGTACTGACCTTAGTAAAATGTGTACTTGACCTTAGTAAAAGTACGCAGTATACTGGGTATTGACTTAAGTAAATGTACACTGTATAGTGTGTACCTTTTTTTCTTTCAGCTGCTCCCTCAGGGGTCACCACAGCGAACTGTCACACGAAGATTTGGAAATTAATTTTACGTTGGATGTCCTTCCTGACAACCACTGACCACTGAGCTACCACAGCCCTGGGTGTGGAGCAGAGAGCTGCAGTCTAGAGCGCCCAGGGGAGCAGATGGTGGGGGTTAAGGACCTTGCTCAAGGGCCCAGAGTGAATGAGGGTGGAGACAGGTGTGGGTGCTTCACCTTTCCCACCCACATTTTGATGTTGTCAGCACCGGGAGTTGAACTAGCGAACACAGGCCCACCTTCTCTAACCTCTGCATCACCACTCCTTGTGTACAGTAGTGTGTAGTTTACTTTTATGTCGTTTGAGTGTTTTGAATTGTGCGGTTGTCTGATATAGTTTTAAAAACTATAGCAAAGGAAGTCCTTGGAAGAATATATTTTTTCCAGACTGACCTAAATTGAATACTTCATTCAGAGGGATTACAGTATATTTACAGGATTTCAGCTCATGTAGTCATTTAGTACGGTTTATTTTTCATATTTGATCATTTATTAAATTACATTTATCACAGTTGCCTCTCAGTCTGTTTCTAAATATAATCAAGTTTAGCTCATCCAAACAGCCACAGCAACCTTGTCGTTGTTAAAACTCCATGCAGAATTGAATTCTGCAGATATTTATGATAAACTACAAACACTGAAACTGTCTCACAGACAGAACTTTGTGAGTCCGGGGTGAACATTAAAGTTAAATGGAGGCACACATCTCTGCTATAATCTGGGGAATAAACATTCATCTCTTAGTGTTAGTATTGTTTAGTTGTGAGAACTAAAACAGCAGATGCAGCCGTGAGAAACGCAAACACTTACGTTGAAAACGTAGACGTTTAATAATTTATTACGTCATCACCTTCATGGGTGATGGGGGTGTCCTTCTTAGACCAGAAGTAGTGACTGGTACTCTCACGTGCAGTCTGTCTCTTAAGTTGGGACACTGTGCACACCCGCCATGTATCTGACAGCACGACCCGCCCTGCTCTGCTCTGACTGGGTCAAACTGTGGCTGTGACAACCTCGAGGCGAGATCTGGTTGTCCGACACGTAAATAGATTGTCTCGAACAAACGGAAACCACTTAAGTTGACCCCCGTTAAAGGAAGCTGCCCGTCAAACTGGGAAGGGTTTTATGGCCACTTCCAAACAGTTTGCAGAAAATGCTATAGTAGAGTGGATTATTTACTAGTGGAAATCATTTAAGACAGCTGACAATTTTCCCTGGAGTGGACATCCCAGCAAATTCACCCCAAGGTCAGACTGTGCAATGTTCACAGAAATTACAAAAACCATTTGTAAGTGTCACCACAATGATTTGTGTGTTAAAAAGGTTAATATTTGTGTTCAGTAGTTAGAATATTTTGTTTTTAGCTTGTTTAGTTCATGCTTCAAACATATGTTTTATTTTTGTGTAAGATGCATTTATTCTGTCCCTAAGGACTATTTTTGTTGTACCGTTATCGCGAGATTTGTGTGAACGGAAGGGAGTGGCGAGATCTGCTGTGCCCGCTACATACAGTTACCTGAAGACACGAGAGGTGGGCGGCAGCCTCGATAGTTTAGAGTGCACAAGATAAAAACCATTTGTCTAGAACCTCTTTAATGACGAGCGGCCATGAGGTACACTGTACACCTTTGATAAAGCATGCTTCACTCGTCGCTCGGTACGGCACCTAAAGCTTTGTGTTTATTTCTGTATTTTCTGTCTTATTTCTGTAGTTTTAACGGCATTCATTAAAGCACCCATTTTAAATAAAGAAGCCATGCCTGAGCCATCATTGGGAGGCTACACCACTGAGCTCAGATTCTCCGAACGTTGGTTACCAGTAATGAACAGCAGAACGTTTGGACAAAAACAAGCAATACCAGTGCCAACACTTCATACTAGCTGTCAAGCTAGCTGAAATAATATATATTTTGGCTTGTTTTGAAGCCACAGAACCTGGGGAATTACAGTCACTGAGCTGACTACAAAGTATAAACTCAACCATATACATATTTTCCTGCTTGCTCTCGACAAAGGCGGACACTTTTCCCTCTCGCTCCTGCTCTGTGCCTTTTTATTTTTTTTTGGTGCAACTTTCACACTGTGTCCCATCTAGGACACAGTGTGAGATATGATTTTTTTTTTTATACCTCCTCTTCCCTCGAGTTTCTCTTTTCCTTATCTGAATGAAAAGGGCAGCGTACCCCACGAGGCTGCAGCCTCAGAGACCTCCGTCTCCCCATGTCTGTTTGTTTGCATTTTACTTGGACGGGCTGTATTTTGTTGTGCTTTGGTGCAATGAGAATAAAGATTAATCTGATATACAGCTGTGGCTGAGTGGTTAGAGCAGTCGTCCTCCAATGAAAGAGTTGGGGGTTCGAATCCACCGCAGTCACATGCTGAAGTATCCCTGGACACTGAACCCCTCATTGCCTCCAATGTGTATGATCATTGGTGTATGGATGTGATCTAAAAAGCACTGATTAGTCTCTTTAGAATGATCTGTTCAATTAGCTTTGTAAAGATATATACAGATATACAGTGCTGAATGAATGGGTAAATGAGAGCAGATTGTAGCGTAAAATGCTTTGTGTATCTTGATAAGATAGAAAGGTGCTATTTAAGTACATATAAGTACCATATAATAATAATAATAATAATAATACATTTTATTTCAGGGCGCCTTTCAAAAACCCAAGGTCACCTTACAAAAACAATTAAAATCATCAATTAATAAAAACACATATATATATATATACCACGATAAACATGAAACAGGACGATAATCCCAAACGTAGCAGTAAAATCACAACATGACTTGCAAATCTCATTTAGCTAAAAACCACACAGTGAAGAAAAGTATGTAAAAATATTCTTCTTCTGACTTTTTCAAAACTGAGTTATTTTCAAATTCCTCATCTCACACTTGAAAATCATATGTAGTTTGATGAAGTTTGGTGATTTATCACGAGGCTAGCAACAATTTTTTCGTTACCGGTAATACCCCGATAAGAAAAACTAGAAAGATGAAAGTGCTTTATTTCAGCATGAATATCCAGGACACTTCATTCCACTTCTTGTTTTGTGTATAAGTGAGCCAGTTTACAAAACTCAACTTTTACTGGTCTGATGTTAACAGGAATTCCAGCCCAATATTTAAAACAAGGAATCCCCAAGCTTCAAAATGAGGACAAAACATTATATGAAGGGATTTCCCTTGTTATGGAAGAGAAAAATGGTCAATTTAAAAAGAAACTAAAGCGACAAGACTTAAAATGGTTTTGTTCTGAAGACAGCTGTTAGTATACTTGAATTTAAAGATAGATTAGGAAGATTATTCTATATTACCATAGTTATGTTTAGAATGGTAAATAGTGTCTTTAAAGACTCAGTTTTGCACCAATCTCAATTAAGGCTCAAATCTATATTTTCACGATTTACTTATGCTCATTCCCACTCATTTTGCCTGCACGGATCACAAATAATGACAGACTGTAGCCACGCCAATAAGTTTCACCTGAGGTGGCATTTGCTTAACTTTAAGAAATCCTAAAATTAGCAAGTACCAGATGTTACATTGTTTTTAATCATGTCATAATCCATAAAGCCTTAAAACTGAAAGTGGGTGTAGTTTATTTGTTACATAAGCATTACCATGATGCCAGTAGCAGGAGACCCGGGGGTGCTCGGGCCCCTGGAGGACGGCAGGTTAATTGGAGTTACACGTCCCTCCACCTGTGAGAACAGTCAGGAATATTCAGATGGAGACTCATTTATTCCACCTTCACAGGTACTCTCCATAACTAGTCATTACTAGCAGCTCAAAAACTAACTTTAGGGTTCCACAAAGAGAAGTGTGCAAAGTGTAGGTCTAGGCCTGTCACGATAAACAATAAATCAATTAATCGCATGATAAATGAAAATTATCAACCTCATTTTCATTTATCGGCTTTATCGTTTCTTCATGTCTCTCTCTTTCTACTGAAGACAGTGGATGACAAAAGGATCAACTCTGGTGCTCTTCACTGACCTTTCCCTTTCTCTTTTCTCTTTAAAATCAATTTTAACCGTCCAAAAATCACGTTTTTGGACGGTTAAAAGCAGCTAAGCTGAGAAGCTAAGCTACGAGATAAGCTAACAGGCCGACCTTGGGAAAAAAAACCTGCATCTTGCTGAAGCTCCAAAATCCACGGTTGAAACCCGTGCCTTCGTGTAAAAAAGTTGTTTTTCTTTGCAAAATGAAGCTGAGAACTTGTTTACTGCTTTTTTTAATTATAAGCTTTGAATGAAAAATGCTATGCTAAAAAACTCAAACCACACCGAGCATCCGCCATTTTTAGAACGAGAAAAAAAGGAAGGAGATATAGCCTATGTCACGTCAAGGGGCCTCCCTCCCATTTTTCTTAAAGAGACATGCTGCTTGCTCCCTCACTATCCATCCTTCGGTTCAAACAGTCTTACACTACCATCCAGTGTAAAAAAAGAGTACTACACTCAAAATAAAATTAACCGACATTTCTTCTTCAATTTGACAGTAATTACTAATTAATGTCACATTTCAAACAATATTATCATTTATCGCAATAATTTCTGAGACAATCACCCAGCAAAATTTGTTATCATGTGTAGGTCCCATTCTTGTAAAATGTACATTTTCTCCAGCTGTCATTGATAATGCTACAAGATTACCTTCTGCATGGCCGGAAAGAGCCCGTCCTCCAATTTATAACAGCTGAGGAGACAAGAAGAGACAGTGTGAGTCAGTAATTGCATTCTCTCTTGCACACTCTCTCATCACAGGCTGACATGTGAGCATAAATGAGTTTTGTTAATAGCTCATCTGATTCTGGAGTTTGGGTAAAAAAGCCACACAGTGGCATCTAAATGGCAGAAAGGATGGGTTTAGAGAAAAGACAGCTTAAATTTGTGGCTTTGGAGCAACAAACATAAAAGAATAATGCAAGGGCAATGTTGGTGTGCAATCTCTAAATCATGCCAGATATTCTTAGTTAGCCTAATGTCTGTTTTTACTGGGCCGCTCCAGGACATTTACCTGGAGTGAACCACTGACCCAGTCTTAAACCTCTAGAAGTCTCCTATAGGTTTCCCCAGAGAATGTCTTCACATTTTGCACCATCTTTCCTTCTACTCTGATCAGTTTCCCAGTCTCTGCTGATGAAAAACATCCCTGCAACATGATTCTACCACCACCATGCTACACTGTTGAGCTGGAGTTCTCAGCATGATGCAAGCCACACACAATGCTGTCCTTGAAGCCGGAAAGTTCTACTTTAGTCTTGTTATTTAGTCTGACCGCAGAACCTTCTTCTACATGTTTGGACAGTCTCCACTCTGCTTTTTGGCAAACTCCAAAAAGTCCGCTTTATTTCATTCTTTAAGGAATGGCTGTTTTTCATGACAGTGAGTTAGCTATAGACAGATACTCCCATCTCTGCAGAAGAGCTCCCCAGTTCCACCAGGGTTATCTTTGACCACTTGGTTGCTTCCTGGATTAAACCCTCCTCGTCTGTTTTGTGGGTTTTGATGGATGTCTCTCTCTTGACAGGTTTGCTGTGGTGGCATTATCTTTCCATTTCCTAATAATGAAACTGATGGAGCTTTATGGGATGCTCCAAGCTTGGGATAGATCATTTATAACTCAACTTTGATCTGTACTTTGCCAAAACTTTGTCTCTGACCTGTATGGACCGTTCCTTGGTCTTCCTGTTGTCTCTAACTTAGTGGTAGACTTCATTATTTAGACGTGTTGATTCAGTCATCAGAACAGGTGTGTACAGTACCTGAGCCCATCTGACACTTAGATCAACCTCATGTGGATCTTACTGAACTAATTCTGTGGTTTTTGAAGGTTTAGGCAAAGGGGTGAATACTTTTGTAACCCGCAGCTTGTTCCTATTTTTAACTCACAGTTGTCTTTTAGTGTTGTGTGTTTAAAACACTGTTTTAAAACTTGCAGCTTTTGTTGGTGCCTGGTTACTGTCCAAGGTTCAGGAACCAGTAAACCTCAATATGTAGCAGTTAGTGTGTCGGTCCCACACATGCTGTTGAATGTAATTTCTGATAAACATGCACCTTGTTCTGGAAGAAATAAAATGATGCTGCGCTGCTGAATATGACATGCCAAGCAAGTCAGTAACGTTAGTTTTGTAGTTGGCAAAGTTTTTATTGTCACCACTATGGTCCGATAGTCTTTTAGTCGGCAAGTTTAAGCATGAATGCTAAAACTGAACTTTAAGAAGCTTCATGGAGAGGTGACTAATGAGCAATATCGGTAAACGTACCATACCATAGCATACCACTTTATTTATAGAGCACTTAAAACAGTGACAAGGCCAACCAAAGTGCTGTACAGACAAAACAACAGTTAACACACAAAGCAAAATACAAAATGAGGTAAATCAGAATATAGACATAAAAACGATGCAGATAATGACGACAAACCAGTGTGGAGCATACAGGATCAAAACACAGATCCTCTAGTGTTGAAAGCTACTGAATAGTAGTGGGTTTTTAAACGGGACTTGAAAACCGAGAGGGAGGGCCTGTCTGACAAGCAGAGGCAACTCGTTCCAAAGTCTTGGTCCTGCTACAGAGAAGGCCCTGTCACCTCTGCGCTTAAGACGAGATCCTGGAACTGTGAGGAGCAACTGGTCCGCTGACCTCGGGGAATGCGGTGGGACATACGGTTGTAGCAGATCAGAGAGATGGAGAGATGGGGGTGGGGGGGGGGTGCGAAACTGTTCAGCGATTTGTAGACATACATGAGTATTTTGAACTGGATTCAAAAGTGAACTGGTAACCAGTGCAGTGAGGCCAAAACTGGTGTAATGTGCTCTCTTTTGCCTGTACTGGTTAAAAGTCGGGCTGCTGCATTCTGGACCAGTTGTAGTCGTGCAATGGAGGTTTGACTGATACCAAACAGGAGTGAATTGCAGTAATCAAGCCTAGATGTAATGAATGCATGTATTACTGTCTCCAGGTTCTTTTTGGACAATATGGGCTTCAGTTTAGACAGCCGCCTCAGTTGGAAGAAACATGATTTAACGATCATGTTTAGACAATTGTTAAGTTTCAGGGAAGGGTCCATTATCACGCCCAGATTAGTGACTCTTTGTTTTTCTGACAGGGTTAGAGCGGAGAGGTCGATACAGTGGTTTGTGATCGTGTCGTTGGGAGGGAACAACATGACTTCAGACTTCTTTTCATTGAAACTTAAGAAGTTTAAAGCCATCCAGTCCCTGATGTCAGCCAGGCAGTTGAGCAGCGGTTGAATAGAGCATGTACCATTGTGTCTTAGGGGGAAGTAAATTTGACAGTCATCGGCATAGAAGTGGAAGGGCATGTTGTGTTTCCGGAAAATAGCACCAAGCGGCAGCAGGTATAAAGAGAACGTGACCTGTGAGTGAAGTTACTTTGTGTCAGCAGGTGTTCAAGAGAGTCTTAGTTCGGCTTTAAACACAAGACGACCGCTGTAATCGAGGAACATGAACCCAATCCTCAGTTCCAGTTGTATTGCAGAACAAATGATCCGTTTTCTAACCAGTAATGGCAGATATACAGCTTGTCCCCTTGGGGTGGAGGCTGGACGTGACCGAACAAGGAGATGGACAGATTCAGGCTTGGCTGTTATCAGAGCTTCCTCAGGGGACGGCTGGTGGTGAAGGGTGGAGAGGAGCTGTGCTCACAGGAAGCACACCTTGGCTTTGTAAAACACAAGAGCTCGTCTGCTAATGCTTCTCCGTCTGCTGTGGAAGGATGTCCTCTTCTAAAACATCCCATCGTCCTGTTCGTTTTTGTTTTTTTCATCTACCTCCCTCCTCCTCCCCTCCTGTTTATCAGCTCCCCCAGCCGGGCCAACGCCCAGGCCCTCCTCAACTGTTACTGGTGTAGTTACACTCCTTCTTCCACAGAATCAATGAGCATCCTTAGGTTTTAACTGACATTTATTGCGAGCTCAGCCATAAAAACTGGCATTGAATCAGCAAGGCAGGATCTCAGTACTGCCTGTCCTCACTAAACCTGATCTGATCCCACCGGGGAGCGGCTTTCAGACGCTTCCTGTTCAAAATCCTAGAGTGCAAACACCACGGTGTATCAACATGTTTGATTCAAAGGTGTGTGAGCAAACTGCAATGTTTAGCTTAGCACAGAAACAGCCTGCCCAAATGTTACACCGCTACTTCTCAGGTTTTCATGTTTTTTAATAGGTATTTATATATTTTTTTTATAGTTCTTTCAGGGTTTTTTTTTAGCCATTTTGAATGTGAACATATTTGTTTTATGTACTTGTTTCCTGTATCTGTAGCTGTTTAATACAGATCTGTCTTTACTGTTGTTTTTCAGTCACTTTTTCTTTCTTCTTTCAGCTGCTCCCTTCTTCTGGGGTCACCACAGATAACTGGCACGAAGACTTGGCGATTGTTTTTACGCCAGATAACCTCCCTGACGCAAACACAGACCACGGAGCTACCACAGCCCTCTGTGTGGAGCAGAGAGGTGGGGTGCCCAGGGGAGCAGATGGTGGGGGTTAAGAACCTTGCTCAGTGGCTCGGAGTTTGGCAAATGAGGGTGGAGGCAGGTGTGGGTGCTTCACTTTTCCCACACACATTCTGATGCTGTGGGTCCGGGGGTTTGAACCGGCGACCTTCCGCTCACATGCTCACCTTCTCTAACCTCTGCACCACCACTTTTGCAGTCACTTTGTTATAATTATTATTATATATTAAGATTTTTTTTTTTTTTACTTTCTGGATATGTGTCTATCACCTGCTGACAAAAAGCAATGGTGGGTGATCATGTTTTTGCCTGTGTCTCTGCCTGCTGTCGTATCTGATGAACCACAGGATGAATTTTAATAATCGTTGCATAAAAACTGATTAGGTTTTGTGTAACCCAATTCAAGATGGCTGCCACGGCCTTAAAACCCATAAACATTGCTCGAACTCAGTTACTTTTACAGATACTGACATAAAACTTGGTGCGGTTGCAACAAAGACTGATTCCCAAAACCTATTCTGAGCGCTAACAGATGATGCAATACGTTTGTCTGTCTGTGAGCAAAATATCTCATGAATCACTGCACAAATTTTAAAGATTTTTTAGGAAATAATTGGATGTGCTTCTACAACTGACTGACTTTTGGAGCAAACATAATTCAAGATGGCTGCCATAGTTGATTGATCTTAGAAAATGCACAACAATAACTATAATCCAGCCAACTGTACACATATCGCCTTCAGATTTGGCGTGGAAGTAGCTGAGAGTCATTCACAACACATGCTGTAAGTGCTACTCAGTTGGAGTCACCCCTGTGTCTCTGTTAGCAAGTTAATATGTGACTTCTAGACAGATTTTAAAAAGTAATCACTGGATTTTTCCTCTCTCGCTCATTAGGAGTCCAATTTAAAGGATCGATGTGCGTAATGATTGCTTCTTTGTTGCCTCGACACATAAGTTGAATGAATTCAGAGGAAATATTGTGGACATGTGAATACGGTGCAGGTAAAACGTCATTGAGGTAGTTCCGTCTGTTTCCCTGTCAGTCTGAAAGTCTTATCGCTGCAAGCTTTTAGCTGCTAGAAACCATTGATGGAGCTCAGCTCAGTGTCTGTGTGGTTGACTAATGGGACACACACACGTTAAAAGAGATGGGCTAATTGTACATAATCCGACAGAAACGCTGTTTTCTACAGCATCAGCGGCAATAAGATGAGGGTTAACTCCATCCACAGCTTCAACTAACAAGGATTTTCATCATGAAATTACACACAAACTAACAATAAGTATGTAAACCATGTTTTGCAAGTAAATATGTTCATAGCTTTGTATGATTTTTATTTCAGGATGGGATTAAAAGCTGAGTTGTTTCTTTGAGCAGAAATGTTCACGTACAAACATCAACATTTGTTCTTTTTTTGGTCATTTTTGTCAGTATGCTGAATTTCTGTGGAAGTTTTAAGCTCTCAAGTCAAATTATTATTATTTTTTCTGGCCTCTTGGGTTTGTCCTTAACAGAAATATAACAATTCTAAAACCACCGTGTTTACAGGAGGCAACACTTCCTCACCTCGGCCTCCTAAGAGTGAAGATTTGATGCTTTTTGTGTTTTGATTTCTACAGTAAATTGAAATCCAAATGACATAAATCAGTCTGGAGACATACTTTTTTTTTTTAAATTTGGGGAAAAAAATCTTTAAAAGTCTAAACAATAATTCTCAACTCTCTTCAATGTAAAAAATGTAAAGTTTTCTTAAACATTACAGTAAAACGTTCATACAGTAATCAACCTAAAATACCACTACAGCTGTAATTGACACAACAACATATCAAACTGACCAATAACATTAAACATAAATTATTGTAATTTTCACATTTTAACATGATTTAAGGCACAGTCAGTCATATTTATCTGTTTAAACTCACTCTGACATGAAACATGTTATATATATATATATATATATATATATATATATATATATATATATA